CAGGGTCCTGTCCCGTTCAGCAACATCTCGCTGGTCTCCGTGTTGGTGGGCTTGTAATCTACATAAAATTCCTGGGTGCTGGGAGTCATTTGCTTTAGGGATTGTCTTTTCTTTTTGCGGTGCCTTCGCATGATGGACCGCTGCTGCAGCTGCTTCATGCTCGCAGGGTACCGTTTCCATGACACGTAGATCACCAGCAGGATGACGAGGACCGACAGGAAAAGCGCAACGCTGCCCGCGATGATTTTATGGAAGGAGATGTGCTCTGAGTCAACGTCAGGCTCCGGCCCGGGCTCTGTGGCTCCCACTGTGGGGGGCAGAGGGGGCTTGCTTTCATGCTTCGGCCTGGGGAGTTTGGGCTTAAAGGTGGGCTTTGGGAGCGCCCTGGCCAGATCAAACCTCTCCGTGGTACTTCTGCCACAGATGCTGTAGTTCTTCACTGCATCCATCACATTGACTCCTTGCAGTTCTTTGGGACTGGCACAGATAATTGTATTCTCCCTCAGACCTTTGAAACTTTTCAGCCAGTTTACCAGGGAGCAAATATTTCTGCTGCATTCCCATATATTTCCGGCAAGACTGATGTCATTGAGGGATATCCAAGAATCCAATATCTCTTGACCAATAAATGTGAGCTTGTTGGAATCCAGGTTGAGGCGCTGCAGATTGGGGACACACTGGAAAACACTAGGTCCACTGAAAGCTTCGATCTCGTTGCCTGATAAATCCAGCCTTTGTAAGGAGCTCCAGGTCCAGGACATGGTCTGTCCTATGACACTGATTTTATTCCACTGTAAGTAGAGGTTCTGTAGGCTCACCAACCGGGGGAAAAGGGCCAGGTTCAGCTTGGAAAACTGATTGTGCTCCAGATGAAGTTCTTTGAGTCTGATCATGCCAGCAAAGACATTTCTGGCTAAACTTCGGATCCGGTTATAGCCCAGGTCCAAAAGTTCCAGGTTGCGGCAGTCTTGGAATATTCGCACAGGGATGGTTCGCAGGGAGTTCGACCGCAAATGTAAACTCAGCAGCTTCCGCAAGCCCCGAAACTGTTCAGATCCCAGAGAATGCAGCTGATTATAGGACAGGTCCAAGTTCCTTAAATTTGTCACAGGTCTGAAGGTATTGTTAAGAAAATAGGAGATCCGGTTGGAACTCAAAATCAACTCTTTGAGTCTACGTATTCCATTGAAAGCGTTCTCGTCAATATTGCTGATATGGTTATGGTCAAGGTACAGCCAGGTGAGCTGGTTGAGCCCTTTAAATTGATTATATTTAAGTTTCTGAAGGCTGTTGTAGCGAAGGGACAAACCTAAGCACCCAGCAGATATACTTGATGGTATCTCCTGTAATTTTTGAGATTCACAATATACCATTTTGCCTTCACACCTACAGCCCTTGGGGCATCCTCTTTCAGCAGAAGAAAGCATTGTCAGTAAGACAGTGGGGGCTATAACCAGTGCTACAGCTGATCCGCTCAGTAGCCTAATTACATTGAAACCTGGAAATGAAAACAACTTAGAAAAGTTATCCCCCTAAAAAAGAATTCATTCATTTTTAAGTAAGCAAAAAGCAAGCATATATATTCATCTAAAAAATTAAAGCTAAATGATAGCATTCAATATCAAATGGCAACTCAGTGTGATTTAAAGAAAATATTCTTTAGGGATTAAAAAAATATTTAAGAAAGAAAATGTATCCACTAAGCAATTGAATTTTTATCATCCAGAGCAAGGTAATTTCTAAAATAATTAAGGTAGAATTAATACATAAACTGGAGGGATTTTTTTGCTTTTGTTTTTTTTTTTAAAGAATGAAATAAGAAAAATGATAAAACATACCCATCCTTTGTATTGTTCAAAGGTCGTCCTTAGGTCTTTTGCTTTGGCTTAGGGGGCCACTTGCATGACAGCCCCTGTCAGCTGCACTGTAGTGAGTCAGGGCTCACTGACACCCAGGAAGAAAAATTGGACCCCTTGGGAGATGGGCCGATTTTGGAACATTATTCTTTGCCAGCCACGCAGAATACTCCAAGAACAAATAAATCCCAAAACCGCATTCACAGCCAAACATCAAGCTCTTCCTAGGTAATAGGATCTTCGTGGATGTTACGTTTTTGCATCTTTACAGTTTTCTGGGTTTTTTGGTGGGTGGGTAAAAAAGAAAGAAAGAAAGAGCAAACAGAAAAGCTGCTTCTACAATGTCTTCTTATCGGAAAGCATGATGTATTCCTCCAGGCAACGTGGGGCTACCTGAGCTGCCGCATCTGTATTCCATAGCCCAGCAGTTCTGCTGGTGGGCGCCCGGTTCAGGCCCGGAGCTGCGTGGGAGCGCAGAAGGCAGGAGAGCCCCGTGCCTTGCACACACTCAGCTCACTTCTGCAGACTGTCATTCTGAAAGCTTCGCGGACTGTTGCTTTGGTTTCTGTGAATGCGGTCTTATGTAAAGCTGCCCCCAGTGGTGGAGAACATTATGGGCATGTGCAGAAATGTCTCTCTTTTATCTTGCAAATGAGCAGGCTCTCTGCTGGAAAATGAATGATTCTTTTGGGTAGCTCCATAGGAACTGAATGGTCACCATAATCAATAAGGAGCAAGATTTTTTGTAATTCCTAAGTCTCGTTTTACAATTTGGCAATGTCTTGATTGTCTGCGTCCATTTAATTGCTGACCATGTGCTGCTAAACAGAGTTTTTCTGGAGCTTGACATTAAGTTCACAGACTGTGTGTCCATTTTTCTTAACCTCAATGTGGGCTTTCAACTGAAATTTATAAAATGAATGGTGGAGCTTTTCACAGAGAAGCATTAATGGCCTGCCCCTTTGACCTCTTGGGCCCACAGTCATTGCATTATGAGAGGCGTCTCTGGATGCTAGCACGCATGTATTTTGGGAGAGAGGAGATAACTAGTCAGATATGAATTAATGGGTCCAACAGCCTTTCTTGCTTTACCACAAAATATATCATTGTTTTTATGTTTTACGTCTTCATTTGCAGTTGTTTTGTTGTTGTCTTACATATATTCTTTAATTAGCAGGGAAATACAGCATTCTAAGCACTCAGAGAACCATGTGATCATTTGGTTCACGCTTTATCGATGCTGCTGTTTCCTACATTATGTATTGAGCACTTTTTAAGTGGACTGCGTGGACTACCTGCACAAGGGTACAGTGCAGGGTCCATTACAACCTCCATCTCACAGGTGAAGAAACCGAGACTTGGAGAGGAAAGAACTTGCTGTCCTTGTCCTCTCACAGTGACCCCCGAAGACAGAGTACAGCTGCACCACAAGGTCTGTGAGGCTATAGAGCTTTTAGAGAGCAAATGGCCTCATGGAACCGTTGATGGCTCTAACTGCTGCTCTTCTGGTGCACAACTGGGTGCTTGACAAACTGCACCAGCAGGAATACCTGAGAGGTGGAAAGGAAAAACAATTAAGGTCAGATGATATGCCAGTGGCAAGGCTGAGATTCAAACATTCCGCTTAGGCCTGACCTTCTAGCCAATAGATGCTACTGCTTCAACCAGCTTATTTTCCGTTTTTAAGTGCTTCAAGTGCTAACTAGGCTCATTAAGTGGTTGGGACAGGGTACTGCTAATCAAGAAATGTCTTCTTCTTAGAACAGGATTGTGTGAGCACCTTTGGTCTGGAGTGCTTATTATGAAAACCTAAGAGAGACACTTGAGCTTAGTGATGAATAGCGCAGACTCTGACACCTTGCTTCAAATCCAGGCTACTGCTTATTAGCAAGGCAACCGTGGATAGGCTACTTACCTTCTCTGTGTCTCCATTTTCTTTGCATCTGGAAAACTGGGTATGATACTTAAAATGTGCTTCATAGGCATGATTTGAGGATTAAATCATCTTTTTTTTTTTTTTAAAAATGGCTCATAATAAGCCTATGTGCACTATGTGTACCTGTTTAATAGTATCAACCTTATTGCATTTCTTTCCCAAGCTGGTATTACATGTTGGTTAGTACAGAACAGTAACTATACTGTTCTTAACTTGCAAAGAACTGCTTCATTGAAAATCTTCTTCATTTGTTTAGAACTAAGTGGTATACTTCTTTAGCAAGTTTGCCTTGCTAGTTAGTGCTAGTTGAATTGACTGTGGAAAGTTTTTGTAGTTCCCAAGGAGAAGTTTAATAAAGGTCATCATCATCATCATCAAAAGGGGTTCCACAGATAGAGTCCAATGAAAAGCATCAATTCCTCACCTGTTATGGTACAGGATGGCCAGTGGTTCTCTCAGGTGATCTATAATATGAACATATCTAAAGGATTGGAGAGCTGGTTAAAAATATACATTGCCCGCTCTTCCCCAAATTTCTTCTTTAGTGGGATGGTGAAGGAATACTTATGACCAGACTCTGATGGATAACTAGATTTAAGAAATTCACTTTAAGAAAATGATTAAAAGCAATTATGTGTTGTCTTCTAATAGGAAGAGAGTAAATGCAAACATTCTCTTCTATTTGAATGTAATTCTATGATGATAGCATCGTTATTTTATTTATTTCAATTTCCTTAATCTTAGAAGAACATGTGGGTGCCTCCTAGATGCTCAGTCAATATGGATGCTCAGTCACATCATAAGTACATCTTATGAGTGTCTGAGCAAGCTAATGTTTGATAAGCTGGTTGTATGATGTGAGTTTTGTGTGTTGACATTGATCCCCTGAGATGGTCTTGGCCAATAAGTTTGGACAGTTTTGGTGATAGTTTTCTTTAGATTCCAATTTTCCAAGAGATTAGAAAGTGGCAAGGCTTACATAATCAACAGGTGATCTTAACTTTTCACATAAGAATTTTATATCTTTATGATTAGACCATGTGAGTACAATGATTATGCATTTGACTATTTCCCATGAAACATTGCCTTAGCACCATACTTTGAGATTTTATGATCTAATTTTCCATCTGGGATTTGACAATTCATCTCTCTCAAAAAATACTAAAGGAAATACGAATTACAAACCCTCCAATTCTTTTGTATCTCTGTTGCTCTTCCCCAAGGACAGGTTATTAAGACCTATATCTATATCCTACATATCTATATCATCTAGCGATATCTATATTTTGCTGGACATTGGCAGTGGGCTACAAAACCTGTGAGCTCTTTGCCCTTGTCCTTTCCTCACTCCCTGGTGACTAAAACACAGAACTCACTAAAAATATCATTTTCTTACTCTGCTTTTCTTAGGAGAAATCTTAAGATTAATTTTTGGTGGGTAAAATTCTCAATTTCAGGCTATATACCTTTTCCTTAATTTTCTGACCCATTTCTACTATATGATTGTGGTCTTGTTTTACTTTATAATTCTAACTTCATACCAAGCCTTTGAATTTAAGTGGTATTTCTTCTTGATACTGGCAGTTATTCTACTTTTGGAGAACAATCAATAGCCATTTTTGGGGTTTGAGTCTACCTCCAGACATCCCCCAATCTTGATACTGCCCCTAAAGTTGGAGACATTACTAAGGTCTACAGAAGAATGAAGAACTTGAAGAATGAGGACTATCCAGAAGTCTAGTAGAGAGATTCAAAATAAGGTATCAAAGCCCTAGCACAGACTGAGTACATGAGATTGCAAAATTACTCCAAAGGTATAGAGTGGTTCTTGGAAACAAACAAACAAACAAACAAACAAAACAGCATTTACAAGTGCTTTTAATAATTTGTTGTATTTTTTAAAATAATTCTCCTTTTGTTAACTATAGCCAACTGATTGGTTCTGATTTTCCTTTCAACACAAGCAGAATTATATACTCCATTATGTATGAGCAACTTTATTTTGCACTGAATACCACATACAGAGCAAAGTATAAACTACCTGACAGGTTCAATTTCCTCAATAAAGCAGGGAGGGACTTAATGACTTATGCAATTATCAAACATAGTATCATGTATCTAAGTGATTTTTATTGTTGTTTTTAAAATCACATTTATAGTATTTCACATAGCTGAAGATATTTTGTTTGTTTGGGGAAGTATAGCTAGTATATAATACCAAATTGTATCCCAGTATGAAAATGAATTGCCAAATATAAACTTAAAAAGTTAAGGTTTCAAGAAAATGTCTCATTGAAAATACTGTTTTTGCTGAGTCTATTGTACTGTACTGTGTAATACATAAAGCAATCAAAAATTCACTACCACGGAGTCGATGTCAGCGTGCAGAAACCCTGTAAGACAGAGCAGGACAGGCCCTGTGAGCTTCCAAGGCTCTGTTTACAGAAGTGAAAGGTCTTTCTTCAGATGAGCAACTAGTGGTTTTGAACTGTAGACCTTTTGGGTCACAGTCCACTGCATAACCCCTATGGTATCAAGGTTCCTTTGGCCAGAGTCACTAGCAAATTTCAACTGTCTATTGACATAGGTATTAAATAGTATGCTTGACATTAGAACAGCATAGAGTTTAACAGCACCAACTTTTTTGAGACCACATACCCTGACACACATAGTCAAACATCCACTTGTAGCTTTTGATTTACCCCCAAACTTAACAACTTAACTATTAAGAAGTAGCTTACCAGTAACTTAAATAATTGATTACCCTATTTTTTCTCATGGTGTACGTATGATGCATCATATACAGTGGGCTATTTATTAATGGATGCATTTTGAGGAAATTAGAAACTCTAAGTGGATTTTGACTGCATGTGTGTCTGTCTCAGGGTTGGTGCTACTAAACTCTAGACTGTTCTAATGTCAATTGTGGTATTTATTGCTTATGTCACTAGACAATTGAAATTTGCCACTGACTCTGGCCAGATTTCTCAAGGTCTTATCTAACTTAGTGAATTAACAAGTTCAAAATGGGACTCACAAATCTAAAAATTTCACTTAGGACTAATCACATAATTTACATGAAAGTGCATTGGAAAGTGTGATAAAATACTTCTGGAATCAGTACCTATGAGAAAATTACTTTTTCTTTGACTCCCCTCCCCCCGTCTTACCCTTTCTTATAAAGTGAATATAGTGGGACAAACATAAATCTGAGGCCATCAATATGACCAAGGACAGCCAAAAAATTACCAAAATTACTTAAGAAGTCACGGTCATCTTTTTACATGCAAGTTTAATATCATGGCCATTTATCATTTATATTCTGTATCCTACGTGCAAAGTTCTCCTACCAGTAACTACATTTGAACCAGATATCCTAAAGAGTTTGTGACCTCGGTCCCTGTCATAGAACAGGATTGCCAGAATGCCAATGTATCCTTCCCTACAGGGATGGAAATTCTTTTCTTCCTTTCTGTTTAGTTAACATACTCCTGAGCATTTCTACCTTTGTAATTATATTTTGATCTTCCATCAGAGCAGTAACACTTTTCTGAA